AGTGCTGCTGGGAACGACAGCAGCAGGGACGGAACGAGGGTGACGGTGGACATGAACTTTTCAGCGCACCGATAGTAAACTTCGGCATGTCCACACTGGCACGATCTGGCTGCGATCCGGAATTCCACTCCGGGGATGCTGCGAAGCGGAATTCTCAGTCGACCGACCGCAGATAGCAGGCAAAGTCTGTCGCCTGGAGATTCGTCGCCTCTTCTTCCGAGAGGCTTTCTCTATGAGTTCGAGAATTCATCTCAGCGCTACCCGGGCCCCTTCACAAGTCGCAGTTGTTCCGCAAACATTCACTGATGATAATGAGTCGACCCCTCTATATTCGTCGAACAGGATTCCGTGCGAGCTTCGCTCGCAGATACTCTGGCACACGGCCAGAGTTCTAGCTACATAGTTATCGATACAGAACCTGGGTGGCTTCCCCCGTATCGGGAGATATGGCGGGACTGGGACGCGAACAATATTCACGTTGGCATGAGCTTACGGCGGATCTGGCCAATGACCTGGGAAGAGGATTCGTCTCATTGCTCGCCCGAGAGCGCTGAAATTCGAGCAGGAGCAGGTGGGCGCCTGCAGCGACCAGCCACGCGACTCTGACACAAAGAACTCGCGGAGCAGATCATCCGCGGGATGTATGACGAAGGAATACGTTCGGGAGAGCAATAGCGTTTTCCGCCGCAGGCCTGAAAGTCGGAACTCATGGTCCGAAATTCGAAATGCGTCATGGACGATCTCCACAATGACACCACTGCGCATCACGAGATGATTTCAGAGTCTATCGGGAATCGGCGGATAAGGGGCAAAGTCTCGCGTCGGAAGGCGGTGGTATTGATTGACGACGTCTACGTGCGAAACTCGGGCTCGAATTCGGATCAAAACTATCTGCTCCGTCGGTATCCGACCGGCTAGACAGTAACCTTGGGCCGATCGAGCCTTGATTGAGTCGCTCCGTTCCCAATCGACTCTCGCTAGGCTTACCAGAATGAGCTGTTGTTCTTTCGAGTCGGGTCTCTCCTCGCTAAGTTGGGATCCCGCGTTTTTTTCGTCTGGCGGGTCTAAGATCACATGGCTGGAACCTGGAACTGAGGAATATGTTACGAAAAACTCTGTCTGGGAGGGTGGGAGACTTTCTCGGATGCAGCACAGTCTCCGATATGGAACAATATTGCGATCAAATCTCGCACGTAACAGGCACACGGTCTCGCGTGAACTTCCTTCCGAATCTCTTGTAAGTCGAACTTCCGATGCAACCGGTCCTCTAGCTTGCTCCCCGCTAACCATGAACGTTCTAGACGGAGGGGTTTTCAACGGAAAAGCCTGCGCTCCAAGAAGTCGACGAATTCCCCTTGTCCTTCTGGGCAACGTGACGGAATCGTTCCCGGATCAAAGGCCTACGAAGCAAAAACTCCGAATCAAGAATATTCGGTGATGTATCCACGGCGATTGTTCCTAATAATAATTGGCTTCGATAACAGCCGGGAGCCAGCGCGCAAGCACGAGCTCGCCTCACAGCTAAAAGGGACAAGTTGTAATGCTTTCTGCCCGCTGACGTGAATGGTTGTACAAGACTGAGAACCGCAATCATTGGGACTGACGCTCCATCGAATCAGCGCGAACTGACTTCGGAAACGACGCGAAAAATCCGCACGGGAAAACTGTACATACGCAGAGGTTCTTTTCTCCTTCCACTCCATGAGCGAATTCCATGACCTCTGATGGACCGCGGGCTCCGTTCGCGCAAGACGGATCCCCTCCCGCAGATTTTCTCGGCTCTCGTAAGATGAGGATCAAAGTTCTCGATCGGATAGCTCTTCGGAGGGCCGATTCCTGAGAGCAATATTCCGAGCGAGCTCGAATATCTCATCCCCGGCCGGAATGAATCGACGGCGGAGCACAATCAGAACCAAGCTCATACGGTTCTGGAACTCTCCATCTCTCGCGATATCTCCCTTTCGTCTCGAATCCACTCGCTCAGCGTCTCAGGGTCACTGCCTCGGATTGATCACGTCAGCCTTTGATTCCCTTGGATCTGCTTATTCCCGGGAGCTGTACATGCAGATCATACTTCAAATGAAGAATTGTTCCCCACCAGACGACGATCGGCAATGGGAAACAAACGATTCCGGGGCTTTGCTCCGAACTGAGCCGATCTCCGTCGATCGCGCGCTTATATTCCTCGGAATGTCCAGATTTCCTTCCTCGACTTCTATGAATGAGTGATCTCGACAGCTATTCGGCGAATGAGGAAACTCGAACCATTTAGTGTTTCCGTATGAGAGCACCGCATCCTGAAACTTTCGCGTTCTGAGCCAGCGCAATCCTTCTCGACCGCTGGTTCCCGCCCGCTGGAAAGTAAAGCGACCCGAGTCGTTTCGGAATCATTTAGAGTTTTCCCCGAAAATTCGAACGATTCGGACGCTTTCGATGCGGAACGGTCACCCTGCACTCAATTTGTGGGAGATTTGTTCCGACATCGAGCGGAATCTACCCCGGCAGAGCAAGAGCGGGCCTCTTAGCGATTCGGGAGAGAAACCAAAAGAGCATGAAACAAACTTGATTGGAGTCCTTCGTAAATATTCGGCTGTCCGGTTTCTCCGTTTCAGCATCATTTACCGCGGAGTAATGAAGTGAGTGTGGTGGCTTTCGTTCGCCGCCGGACTCCGGTCTGAGGCATCGACCGACCCCGGGGTCGGAAATATGCCGCGATTTGAAGAACATGGAACTTCAAAGGTATGATTTTCTCCCTCGCAAGATACAGCATTTGGATCCTGCGGAGACTTCACGCACATTATCTAGACAGAAGCCTCGTGGGATCGGAGACGAACGACGTACTACGGCCGGACGGTCGAAGGAAAGTGAGGATAGGGGATTAAGTCATTCGGTGATAATCTCAACCTTCGTCCACCAGTTCAGAAGCAGAAGCCAGTACTGCTGACGAAAAGGCCCTCGAAGGCGGGAAGGATGCTCGGAAGAAAAAGTCTCCCCGGGTAGAGGAAAGAGGGCACCAGGGGATAAGCTCTCCCTCCGTGTTTATTTTCGGCTTAGTGTCGCCGACGTCGTCGTCGTCTCTGCTCCCGTTCCGCCGCCACGGATGTCGTCGTTTCCTTCTCCGTTTCTCCCCAATTGGATCGGTAATGACATCTTCCTTGTGCGTTCGTTCCTTATTCTATTAATACATAGGCCGATCGCTGGCTGGTTTTCTGTCTGGCCAGCGAGAGAATATCTCCGCGTCGTCGTACCGACTGGTTCGGGATCAGCACAAGCAGGAAGAGAATCGCACCAGTGTCCCTGTCTTATCTTGCTTGGAGCCAGGCAGGGCTCTAGTTCCCTATCGGATTTTCCCCTCCCTTCAGAGTGAGGCTCAACGGGCGAACCTGACCGGCGACCGAGGGGGCGCTTCGGTAACGATGCCCAGTCTTTTCCTTCGCCGAATGACAGAAGACAGGGGTGAAAACTCCTCCCGAAGCTAGCTTCGTACATGTGGATGAGCTGTGCACTAGAACGACACCCGTGAAGGACGACACGTCTGAGATCAATTGGAAGCCACTCTGGTAATATTCGGCTTGACAGCGAAAATATTATTGACGGTGTAGTGAGCCTTGGAGCTTGCCATATCGTTGATCTATTTCATGTTCCCGCCCTCACGATTATTTAATACGTGTGATTGAACTGGATAGGAAGCACCACCGCCGGGCACGCGGTCCCGGGTTTCCTCGAAATCTGAGGAAGATCGCATAGATCCCCATGAAGAAAGACGAATACTGGTGAATTTTCCATAATAATTCGACGCTAGGTTTATTATTGTTTCTCCGACAGCGTTCCAGTTATTGACATACCAATCGCTTATGTTCTCCCTTCTTTTCCGGAGAACATTGTAGACATATCTACCTACTTACCTACCGTACATCGTTCCCATGAGCGGTCATCGATCAATAGTAATAATTGTATCATCTGAAGCACCCCGATCGAAAACAGAAAACTACCCCGTATCTGAAATGTTGATCCGATAGTTGAGGTAGAAATTTAGTAGGTAGGTAATCAGTATCCCCAAGCGACCGAGACTTCGCGTCTCTCTCATCACATGTACAAATCTCAGAGCGTACAATCATTTCCTTTGTTGTTTTCGTTCTGGTTCCACACCCTAGGGAGTTTCCGGAGAATACCCACGCCGCGCCGCTGCGGCATACCTAGTATGTTACAAGTTTCCGTATTCCTCTTGCCGACAACGCTTCTGGGTAGTGAAAATATTTACAGCCGAGTTCATGGTGTCCCCAGAGCGGAGAAAAATCTGCGTCTGCACCTGGAAGAATCGATAAACCCATGGGGCGAAGCTCTCTCTGGGTAACAGGAGTCGGTCCATTCAGTGGGAAGAATATCTGCAAGGGTTGGCGAAACGAGAAGCTCTCTCGTTTTTCTAGTCGACGCGAGGACGCGCCCATGCTGTCGATGGAAGTCGCCGTGGTCAGTAAACAATTCAACAAAGACGACTCCAGAGGGTAGACATAATCTTCCCTCTGCTGATGTAGTATATCGATCGCAACGAACAACATACGAATTTATCCATAAATCACCTGTCCTCGATGGATTCGTTAGTTATCCGTCTGCACCATAATCACCCGATTCCCCTTTCCGTTCGGAAATCGACATCTTACCCAAGCTCCTTCCATCTCCCATAGATACCTCTCCCCCCTCCCCTNACCCCCCCGAAGATCCGCTGCTCGAGACGAAGACCAGTCGACGGTATAGGAGGCCCACAAAAAGCTAAACAAACTCCATCGAAGTCAGGTCTGAAGGAAACGGAGTTCGAATGTTCCATTATGGACATTGAGACGGCAAACATCCCATGCTGCGAGCGCGGGTTCGTATGTTCGGGCTTATGTGTCGTTTGTGTATTTCCTCCCTTCCGAGAAGCTCATCCGGAAAGCTGTTACTCGGTATAGAATCGATCTGATGAGTGGACAGACAGACAGGCAAACTGTCAGCCATTGAGTCTACAGCCTCGGGACGCTCACGCTTATGACTGCTTCTGGCGACAGAAGCAACAGCAGCAGCGACAACAACACCGAACTTGATCCCAAGGTCCGTCTGCTAGATGACGACGTCGTCGCCGTGTTTACCTTCTGCTGTTCCGAATAGCCTTTTTTAGGCTCAAAGTCCTCGGGGCGACATGTTGTATGAATCTGGTTGAAACTCAGCTGCTCCTGGGCTCGCTGAATCTCGAGGGCGTGCGCCACCGTCGTGTTATGCAACTCCGAAGGCTCCGAGCAGAACGTCGTGTTCGTCGCGTGCGACATTTTGAGCATCGCCTGAACCCACCCTAGTCTACAATCGCATGGTATATAGTTGCCGCGGAGCTGGCGAATTTCAGGACTCAGACCGTCCAGCGAGCCCGGGACCAAGTTTGTAATTCGGTTGTTCACGAGTTTGACCGAGCGCACATTCCGCGTGCCGGCGAAGGTGGCGGCCTTGATCGTCTGAATGATGTTTCCTTCGAGGATGATAGTGTTGGCATCCTGCAGGCCCGTGAATGCGCCTGGAAGAGAACCAAGGAACAATTTAGTTTTTTCAGGTTCCGCCTTCTTCCTCGAGATCTGTTTACTCAGTTGAGGAAAATCAGAGTTCTGTTCTTCCTCAGACCGACTCGTGCTCGGATTTCCCGGCGTGGCTAGAATGATAGACTCCGGCAATGTTCGAGGAAGGCCAGGGACGTAACCAGAATAATTTTTCTTGCAAGAAGGCCGAGACCGATTTCTGAAAAACATAGCCAGGGATCGAGATGATGCCGCGCTTCGTTGTGGTCGAACGACATGTGCAAGAGGGACGAGGACGTTTGCCTGCCCTCCCCCAAATGCCCTTGTGCAGACGTTGAGGAGGAAACATTATTTCTAATCCGGTGTCTGTCAAGAGTGATCGTGACCGCCCCTACCGAATGTTTGGGACCTCAAGCCCGGGTCTGATTCGAAATTCTTCTTCCTCCAAAGAATGTGTATGCAGCGTTCCTTGTCCTTGATCGGGATCCATCGTTCCTGAGTCGAGTACTGGAGTTGGGACGAGCGAGTTGAGCCGAGCCGGAGGAACACTTCCGCTGAGGCCTGCATGAATGCCTTCTGGAGTGGTGTTAGCGGCCTTGGAGTTACTTGTTTCTCCTCATCCATTTTGGGTGAATCCCCGGCCGTATCGATCCGGTATCGCACAGCCGGGACGGAGTGGAGAAGGCTGCTGCTGGGACTTTGTTGGGAAACGTAGGATATCGTACATTTTGTATCATTTCTAATACGGATTGGGGCTCTGCGCTCCAAGACGCGGGATGGGAATCGTGGGATTCGGACCTGTCTTTCCAGACAAAAAGGTCTGAAATCTCCGCCAGTCGGGGGATTATTTGCCTCGTTCAAAAGTGTTTCTGGATTCCATTTTGGGAAACCAATGTTTTCGTTCCTGTATACGAAAAGGCAGAAGAGAAGAACTTCTCGTCCTGAACGCTTTCCGGCGCGGCGGGAAAGCCACGCGGGGAATGATTTCTTCCTCGCTCGTTTTAAGTTGGAACAGTTGAGCGAAGGAAAGCGCCAGAGCGACGACGAACAGAAGAGCAGAACGGCATTTTGTGTTCTGAAGCCGGTCTCGGCGAGAACGACCAATCCAATAGAAAGTTCCAGCTTCCAATGGAGTGTCTCCCGCATAGAAATGGACCCGAACCGGCAAACGTCTCGGCTCCATGTGATTTTGTTTCGAGCGCGTTCCTCCCGGTCGTACCGCCAACCCCGCTATCGCCAGCAGCGAGTCCCGGTGCGGCGGTCGTTTCATCTTGGCCGTGAAAATTGGTCGTCTGATGTTTCAGCTAACGCTGTTACCGACAAGCAATTAGTTACACAGGACGAACTCAAAGCGACTAAAAATCGCAGTCAATCGCTTTCTTAAACGACGTCCCGTGTTTCCGAAGCAACATCCCGTTAAGGATCCGAAGCGGAATCCGGCGGCGACGTAGTCGCGAACGCTTTTTTCGGGATCCTTCTCATCCGCGGTAATATTCAAGCCGAAATCAGCGCCCCCCACCCGGATGGCTTCCCTCTCTCGACTCTCGCGATTCTCGATAGCTTCCCGATTCGGATCGCGCGCACGAACACGAGCCAAAACATCAGAGCGTTACACGAGCGGGAGGAATTTTCCCGCGATCTCCTCACCTGAATCGAAGACGCGCACGACGGAGTTGCTTATGATGATGCGATCAACTTTGCTGAGGCCCCGGAAAGCGAATTGACCGATCGCGTCGGATTTCATCTGATCGAACGCGAGCTCGGTGACGTTCTCTAAGCCGTGGAAAGCGTCCGCCTGTATAGTGTCCACTCGGAGCGGCATGTAGATGACCCCGACGTCTCTGATATCATTAAAGGCCTTCGTCTTGATGATGACTAGAGGATTTGCGTCCAGTGAGATGTGCTCGATGTTCCTCGATTCTATTCGGAAGAGATACGACAAAATCAGTTAGTGCAACTCGAATTCATGTCTGGTCCAATTCCACGGACAATTAATTAGAGTTAGCGATGTCTATTTGATGACATTCTCAAACAGCGTTTAAAAATAGATTCTCTCGAGATGAGCGTCCGCATCTCTCGGGTGATTTTCGGGGGAGACGTTCCCGGATTGTCCCTCGCCCCCGTCAATTAGGCAGCTGCTCCAGGAGAGATATGCCTAAGCAGGCTCGAGCGGTCGGGGAAAAACCAAGAAAACGACTCCGTGCCTTCGACGCCAAGCTACTAAAGCAGCGGGGGCCGAGTCGGTGCTTGTGCCAAAATCAGTGTTTCTTGCGTTCGCTCATCAGACTCCTCGTCGTCACGCAGATCGTCTCGGGGTTTTTGGCCGCTTGCCTACGACAGTGTTCCTGATCGCTCTCGCCGTGAACGGAGGGAGAGCGGACGATTGCCGCGCAGAGGAGCCAGCGTCGGAGCCCGGAACGCTCAATCGCATCGGCAGTGGTGTCATCAAGATTTTCTGAGTAGTCTGCTCCTCCCAACGTACGAGATCGATAGGGATTCCCGATCCGACGAGGAATCAGAAACGTGCGGAAGAGGACCGAAACACTCACCGGCGAAAGCATTGGGTTCGATGCTTTGGACTCGATTGTATCCGAGGTTGAGGAACTGAATGTGCTGGAGACCTGAGAAGGCGTAGCTCGCCAGCAGAGTCAGAGGGTTATTCTGTAAGCTCAGCTCTTCCATTTCACGTAAACCTCTGAACGCGTATGGGGCGACAACCTGCAAGGACCGGACAGAGAGTTATCCGCATGAGCGACAGCGTCAGGAGCAACACCGCTGTGACAAGTGGACCCATTAGCGACAGCTAACACATGCAGTTTACGTCGAAATGCCCGTAACTTAACGGCCCCTCGGAGAGCAACGTCCGTCGAATTCCAGCCATTCGCGTGTAGTTAGCAGTTGGTTGCTTGCCTTCGCAGCCAGCACCTGAGACTGGACGAGCGAACCAGCGCGAACCCACAGTAAACTCAACGCTCATAGGCTTGTCGTTTTATTAGCGCGTCCTCTGGGACGAGCCCGAGACGAGCGACGGGAGTCGGCATCGACATTCCCGAGCGCATCTCTTACCGTGATCTGGTTGTTGTCCAACAGCAACTTCTTGAGGTGCCTGAAGTGCTTGAAAGCATCGTTCGGAATCCGCGAGATGCTGTTGCTCATCAGAAGAATCTGTCGAGCGTCCTTCGGGATGTACTTGGTCGGGAGTGAGTCCAGACCCGTCTCCTGGCATAGAATCTAGAGGATAGAAAAAATACGGTCATTATGATGATGATGATAATAGTCCTGCTAGCGATTTTGACGCCCAAATCCAGAGTGGGACCTATTGCGGAATCTACGTTCAGGTACATTCAGGCGGGTTTTGACCACGGCTCATGCTAAACTGGTCGACGAGTTTGAATCCGGGATCCCCCGGCGGGATTGAGCCTTGACGATCAAACGAAAATATCCTTGGCTTTTTCCCATCGGGGACTCAGTACACTCCCTGTCGGCGCAAGCCTCCAATCCGGTTCTCGGTCGGTTCGTTTGACGCGTATCTCTCTCGGTCGTATATCTCTCTCTTCTTATCCCTGCGTCAATCCGTGGAGCCCTTCGTCAGCAAACCCGCTCGGCACGCAAGCACACTCCACACGTATGTCAGCGTCTGTCTGTAGATCTGTGTCTTCGTTGGTCGGTACGTATTTCCGTCAAAGGCCATGCAAATTCTCCATCGACTCGCTTGTGGGGGAAGGATGCGACTGTCTTGTCAGCCGTCTCTCGGTCGCTCGCTCGGTGGGCCGTCTAACTGAAAGCGGCTCATCAAGGAACGGAAAGGCTGGATGGAGGACTCTAGAGGGGAGACTGGAGCCCCAAGAGGACCATCACATTCAAGCATGCTATCTCGTCACTTTTCTCCTCCCAGTGTCCTTGGCATAAATAACTGGGTCTCGCTCAGACTAACCGGAACCTGAAGCAGTTTCGTCGGAGTTTTAGCGAAAACCATTCCCGCCGCCCGAGTTGATTAGCTGCAGATATTTTCGCGAGCTTCTTCCCAAAGACGCGCGCCGCTCGCGAATCATGAATGCGCTTCCTCCTAGAGCCGGGGCCCGCTGTTGATTTTTCGGGCATTTCGAGATAACATCCTAGCTGGGGACTCCCTCACCACCGGATTCGTGTCAACTGACTGACTTCGAGACGAGAGATCGAGGAATCACCAGGTAACGGATTTCGCGGAATTTATTGCTCCGATTGGAATGGGGGGGGGCCTCATCTAGGAAGTGAGGAAATTTAAATTATCTCCCTCAATCCCCCCGCTTAGGAATGTTGCAAATGATGCTAGCCCGGAAATCCCGAGTGACAGGAGAACGCGGAAAAACATTCTGATTACATTTAAACAGATAGATTAACAGACAGATAGACGTGGATATTTGTAGAAATATCTGCTCTACTCAGTGCGCGGCGGGCTCTCAGCCGCGGAGATGTAAAACGTGCGCTTCCTCGCATGAGGGAAGTTTTGAATAGACGCAGGGCCGCGTCTTCGGAACCTCTCTCGTCTTCTCATCCAGCCGCGTCCCTATTTTTCTTCAGAGTCGCTTTGTCTGTCCTCTGAAGTTTTCCCCTTTCGTCGGTCGTTGCTCCTTCTCTCTCCTACTCCGGCCCACTTTTTATTTTTTCCTCTTTGGACTTCCCGGGAGACGTCTTGTCCAATTCGAGTCAATCTCGCAACCGCGCCCAAGATGGCAGGCCAAGGCCAGTCGAACGGATGACGTAATACTTTTTAATCATGATCATTCCAGAAACGTCTCCGCTGTGGTTGATTCGTGATGATGGCAAAATCGGGGCACGAAGTTGAAAGGCGTCAACCGTTTTGTACGTCGCGTTCTTCTTTTCGAGCGTTCATTCATTCGCTCATCTATTCATTATCGGCCCTGGCGACGGAATCCCAGCTCACAATGAAAAGATCCGTCGCACAAACCAGCTAGTCATCCGAGCCAAGACCCATCGTGCCGGTTCGGCGAGGAGCATGATGGAGCTTCGGGCTAGCGCTCTGTTTCAAGCGGAGAAGGACGGCAAAAGGCTCTTGCTTCGCCGCCCGCTGAATCGGAGCTCAGCACAGAAACAGCGACGCCATTAAGCCGCTCGCCGACAGACGGAAAAAATCGCTGAGGCAACTTTTGTGCGACCAGGAGAATCGCTGGCGAATCTCAGAGGAGAAACAAGGGCCGGGAGAATGAAAGGCGCTCTTTGACCCACACCGGGTCAATGGTACCGATGAAGCGGAGATTGAGAACAGCGAGCGTTTTCGAGGGGCGCAAGAAAATTATATGAAGCACGCCCGGCCGCCAGAGACGACCCGAACAGATTTCCTAATCTCAGACACGGATATCGATTGCGATATTCTCGCATGCCTCCCTTTGCGCTTGGTGGAGCCCGATCCACGCGACTCGCTCCGAGCGACATTCGCTGAGACGAGCCGGAGTCATCGACGGTGGAAGGGCGGCGGCGGCGAGTCAATGCTGTTCCCAACAAAACAGACGATGGTGTTCCAGAAAGATAAGCAGCACATTTACTGAAGGTCGCCGACTCTTCTTGGCAGAGAGTTCTCTCAACGAGGTCAACGAGTTATTCCCGAATATTTTTTCCTCGAAAGTTGCTCCTCTGTCGTTCAACGAGCGAGAAAATCTCCCGAAAATCTAGATCACGATAGACATCAGGACTCCGCAGAGGATTCTCGTCAGGGTTTTATTCCTTTAATTCCCTTATCGTCGCCGGTCTGAGAGAAGCCAATATGAGCCGAGATTCCGCGTCGGTAATCTCCGAGAATTAAAACACACGCTAGACAAAATCGAACGCGGCCCCGATCGTATAAATTCCTTACGATCGGCAAAGGGTCAAAATGAAATTTTCCGAGGTCGTCGTGGCTCTTCTGACCTGCCGATGCCATCCTTGTCTTTGTCCGCTATTTTTGCGAACAAATCTTGGCACTTGATTCGATTCGAGCTCCCTCCCAGTGGGTTCTCGAGCTCGGCCAATCACCTGCTGCCGTCTCCGCAGGTGGTCATCGCTCAAAAGTTTCGAGGTTGATCAAGTCGGAAATCGGGGTCCCAAGAATGTTGCTCCGGGCTTCAGAGGATCTCTCGATGTAGTCTCGATTCTCGATCGCGGAAGACAAAAACCTCAGCGGTAGGGACGCAGAAGAGACGTCGATGCGGAATCCAATGCGTCTTTTATGCTTACCCGACGTCGCCAGACTGGCCAAGGTGTAATTTCCGGCCGCGTGCATACTCGAAAGCAAGAGCGCCATTATGATCTCGGGGCGCAGCGAACGGCGAAAAGGGGCTCGGGCTAACTGTGTGGATGCTCATATTACGATAACATCAGCAACATTGAACTCACGGGAGCGGAGCCCCTTAAGGAGACGGGACTCGTTCTGAACCCTTTCATCAAACCTGAAGAATCGCTTCTCTGCTGCTGCCGACGACGACGAGAGCGTCGTATGGTCGGCGTTCTCTCGGACCCCCGGGCGGTGGGATGGGCTGCCAATTTGTCTGCTCGGGCATTCCGCAGCCCAACGCCCCCTCCTCGCCACCGCTGCTCGTGATAGCGTGACCGAAACACTGGATGATCCCAGCCTCGGCTCGCTATGATACGTTCAGCGGAGGCTTCACGATGTCATTATCGTATTATTTATTACATTTATCGGGAGCCTTGAATCCAGCCGAGGAATGTTGCGCTCGAAGAGATTCCCGAGAAGACTTCCAACAAGGAATCTGTCGAGAAACTCCATACGAGGGCTTCGAGGGAGAAGCGCTTTACGCCATCGCCAGCCCACTCTTCAACACTCCTGTCAAGCTCTCGAGCACCTCTCGTCCAGATTCCAGAGGTCGTCGTCAGACATCGTGGGAAAGGCCACGGCTCCGAGTGCTACTCTCGCTTTCGGAAAACGGATGTTTTTTCACAGCATTCTCCGAGTATAACGAAAGCGACAGACGGCGAGCGAGATGAAATATGTACTCTGATGACGTGACATACCCTCGGTGTCGACTGCATAGCCTCAGCGGAGCAATTCGCACGTGGGTTTTCGCGCATTGAAGTGGAGCAGTCGCGGGGAATCCCTTTCGACCAACCAACCAACCGACTTCGGAGGCATCGTAGTCAAGCTAGCCAGCCTGCGAACCAGCCAGATTAGCTCGCCTCTCTCGATCCGCATCTAATCCTTGGGACGGACGGGCTCGAATTTCTTCCCTTCCAGGAGCCTTGCTCAGCCTGATTGGATCATGATTCCAGCCACGAGCAGGTTTGCGAAAGGAACCCGGAGGCTCCTCACCGGTTAGACAGATGCGCGAAGCATGCGATGCGGTGCGATGCCAATAATACCGGGGGCAGGTTCGACGTAGCAAGCAATACGGCTCCTGATCTAGGCAGTGAAGGAACTGTGTTTTCTAGGTCTCCGTGGTCCTCGGCAGAGGCGCCCATCAGCGACGCATCCAACACAATGCCGAGATGCTGGGACGCATCAAACGTAATTATCCAGGATCCCATAGAAGTGGCACAGCCAGCAAACTGCGCCTGTTGTGACGCGTCCTGGAACACTTGCGCACAAGCCGAGACCAACCGAAGGCGCCTGGTTACCCTCAGAAAAGAAAGCTCAGAGTCCAAACTTCCTTTCGCTTCGAAGGACGAGAAGAGATTGTGACCGACGAAGAGAGGAGCAGAAAACATTAAAGGAAACACGCAGACTGGCGTCGAGACAAACTTGTCTGAGCTAGCGGGGAGGACGGAGGAAAAGCAAGAGACGAGAGGCGGGATGAACGCGCTACGAAATTAACCAGAGTGCCCCTGCTTCAATTTGTGAACACTCGCTCACCGAGTTAAGAGTGTACAGAGCTAATAATTTGACATAAGAGATGATTGCTCATGCTCTCGAGGGATAGCGAGGGGAAACATTTTTATGTCGTGTCGGAGAATGGAGTGGGGCACGTACGACACTTGACCGCTTCTAATTGAATGAATGGTCGGCCGATCGATCGATCCATCGGGGACTTGCTAGTTCGACTCGCGGGCTCACACTTTCCGACAAAAAGGAGGGCGGAATGAGACCCATGCTATGCATCTGCCAGGCTCTCCAGCTCGCGTCATTTTTGCCCTCTCTCTCCCTCCCTCTCCAACTCGCTCGTGCATGGAGAACAGTATGTCGAAAACAGAGTGTCCACAAACCTGCTTGTTGGGAAGACATTTGCATTTTACTGGGCAAATAGACGGTGTCGACGCGACTAAAGCGGGAAGGAGACACCCGAGTATGGCCGAGAGTAAAAAACATTTCCTGTACACTGGTATACAATCGACGAGTTGGGTTGTCATGGTGAGACCACCTGCAAAGGAAAACACCAATGAAGTTTCATCCCATGGCACCTCGATCAGAAACGACGGCATTCGAAGTACTGGGATCCGGGAATTCGATGGAAAAATGAAAATGGGACGACGAGGCTGTCTCCGCCCATCTCAGTGCTTCCGCCTCAACCTCGAGGATTTTTTCAACATTTGTGTTGCGTGATCGGTCCGACTTGAGCTTGTTCCGAGAGTCGATAGAGGCGATTGATTAGAAGAAAAAAGAGAAACCCAGAGAACAACGCAGCCGTTTCGAGGAACAAATGATCACTGACCGCACTCTAGGTTTCTTCAATGTCTCGGGGAGCGCTTTTCGTTCCGTCGGGGGAGACGAGAAGAGTTTCCGACCCCTACCCTTGTCGGTCTTCCTGCTGTTATACCTTTCGTTGTGTCTGTGTGACTGTTTGGGTGGATGTCGGTGAAACGTCGGCTCGTCGTCCTCATACAGCCCGATCAGTGTGCGCGTAGATGGGGAGCGGGGCTGGGCTGGGGAAAGGAGGTCTGCCGGGCTCGTCTCAAGTTCTCCGCACCACTGCCCAGGAGCCAATCTCGATGGGTCCTTTCCCCTGAAGGAGCGACCGGCTGATTCCTCCGCAGCAGTTTCCTTTCCGAACATTGCAACTGGGAGCCGGCGGAAGGAATAGGACGAGAGCCGCAAGAAAGAGACGACGCTGCCGCCGCAGACGTCGGAGGAGCCACCTTCAGAATGCCGCTGTCTCCCGGGGCGATTCTTCCGCACGGTGCTTCCATAGAGAAAGATCCTTTGTGCCTGTGTGCAGGTTGCGCGAATCCTGCTCAGCGATAACCTCCTCCTGTCAGCAGGACTGTAACCCCAACCGACTGCCCGCTGTCGGACCACCCGGTTTCTCGCCCACCCGCCGGTTTCACCAGTCAGCCCGCCGGTCATGCCGAGCCGCAGGTCTGTGAGCGGCAGAAGGAGCCGGACAGCTTGCGCTCGATTCCGTCGGAGCTCGGCAAACAGTCAAGTGTTCTTGTCCAATATGTCACTTTTTGTTGAAGTCTGTACTCGCACAATTTGAAGTGCCAATAGTTCGAAGTCGATTCGATTTTCAGCCCGACTTCAACCGGCTGCGAATTTACTTTGCACTTTTTCAAAACCCCTTCTGACCGGGCGTCAGGGCGACGCTCGAGCGTGAGTCAGCTTTTCCGATTCCTACAGATTCCGAATTCGGATTCGAGTGACCACGCGTAGCGCCTTTTTCGAGAATGTGATTTCAGAATCTCCACCGAAATTCACTTCCATCGGAAGTCTTCCGATGGAAATAAGTCTGAAGCGGCCAGCAACCTGTGACGCACGCGTGCTCCACTCGTGCATGTTCTGCGAGGGAGAAACACTATGTCTCTGAACACTTTTCCGTGTGACGGATCTGGATCACCGGAATCGCGCGACGCTCTTCTCGAGCGAGCCGGACCAATCTCGAGTACCCAGACATGTATTCAGACTTGAATTAAGGGCCCCGACTTTTTTTGAACCGAATGGAAATTCAAAGGAGAAGACACATCCGAAGCCAGGCTCGCTCGCCCGCCAAATACGAAGGAGCATTATCCTAGGGCTGAGACGCTCCATGATCTAGTAGAGCCTCCCCATGTCTGAAGGAGTTCCGGATCCCAGTCGATCGTAGCAGTGAGGATTTTTTCCGCGCCCGCCACGGAAGCATCGATGTGCTGCATGACAATGGTCGATAAATAGGAAGCGCAACCCGTCGCCCGATAGGAGCGCACGTCGAGCGAATTCCCAGAGTTGCATCGGCAATTAGGCTCTATGTTTACTTCGTCGTACAGGCAACGGACACGACTGCAAGGACTCAACGCTCTGGCGAATTCGTCACCGATACTTCCTGGGTTTAATGTATAATACAGAGGTCTTCATGTCCGCCATGCGATTTCCAATCCTAGATGAGACCGTTAGAGACCCGCTGGATACGAACAAGCAAAAATTCAATTGAACGAGCGGAGCGCTAGGGAATCCCACCCCCAGGCCTTTGCCATTCTATTCCTTATCAGCTACCACCTGAGTCTTCGCCCTATATTCGATATTTCCCTTCTGACAAGCTCGAATCGTCCGGCGGGAGCGGCACCTGACTCCGATAATAATTCGCAGACATGAACCGACTCGCTAACGGCACCGACCAGCGCCTTCTCCGAAAGTAGGAGCGACCTCGGTGGTTCCGTTGTTTCACACCCAATGACCGATGCGTTAGCGAATGATGTTCTATTTAGTGTTCGTGCCACGTACGGAGCGCAGTTCGCTGGGCACGGGCGCCGCAAGCTATGGATATTCGATGAAGTCTGAATCCAACCAGATCATCAGAGCTTCCCCGAGTCCTCTCGCTCAACTTCTTGTAGCCCGGCGGACCGAGACAGTATTTCACCGGATCTGCATTATCGCGTCGTGCTCACGGATCGATCCCGAGGAATCCAATCGGTCCGCTCCAAATCATTGCGATCCTGTACCGGATCCCAGTTTCGGGGTCGGCTCTGCTCGCGAGCTCGATCAGATTTCGAAAAAGCTAACGAAAACAGGCTGGCTTATGAACTCACTTCGTAAATTGGACCGTCAATTCAAAATCTCAACGAGGAGCAGCAGCAGCAGTCATGACCGGGAACGACGCATTCGAGCACACATGGAGCGGCGCTATATGGTTTCCTCGATGAACATTCACTCGTTTCGAGCGAGCTTTTTGAACGGCGGGACTCGGGATACGCTACTGTTATTGACGTCTGTTTCAGTTCTGCGAAAACCGTTCCGCTAGCGGCGGATGCTCCTCGGTCCCCATTCGGTGAAATATGAAAACTCATCCGAAACTACGGCTCGCTGCTCGCTGAGCCTCGATCAGAAGACTGGAATCTTCTTCTTCTTCTGCTTCGGCTTACAAGAACTCTCTGTATGGAGTGCGAGCATCGAAGATCCCCGCTGCCTGGAAGCGATCGGAGATTAGCCCCGCGTTCCCTCCCGCCGGAGCTCGAGGCCGAATCATCGCCGTATGCATATCCAGATTAAGACTTTCGCTGATGGTTATTTCATTGTGACCCGATCTAGATCTGCTCCTCCTGAATTCCGGAGCTGGCTCCACGGGGCAATTGCAGTGATCGGAGCGTTATTGCGAGAGGGAAGCTACGTCCGCATCCGCATCGGTCCAGCTCTGGAGTTAAACGTTGTCTGGGACAGCGGTAGCGGAATACCTCATTCCCGATCTCTTTCTACGAGGGAAGAGTTGGCAGTTCGCGGAGCGGATGACTTTCCTGACGAGCGAAGAGACGGTCGGGGACCAGATTACCTAAAGTGAATGATTATTTTTATGCGTGGCGATCTTCCCACCGGAGTCGATTCCCGCTCCGTACGCGTTTCTGACTGAAGGCCCGAGGAATTTTTTTCCTCTCCGCTGCTTCCACTGATATTTCTTCTTTCCTCTGTTCTCGTCGTCGACGGAGTAGCCGTACTCGACGTCGACATGGCAGGATCGCGTTCTCAATGAATTCTCAACAAGCTGTGCGCGAACACTGCGTTTTTAGCGTACGGAACGCTTCATGCGCTGTATCGAATCAACAAAGTTCTCTCAATGAAGCTCGTTTTTCCCTGGAAGCTTCAGCCTTTCGCGGAGGGCAGCCCACAGGAAGACTATCCATCTGCGCGAGAATTCCAAGGGACCCATTAGATGCATGCGACGTTCCTTCCACGTTAGATGATGTTACGACGTCGTCGGTTCAATGAGTCGAACGGAACTGACGATATCGAGCGTGAATCCGAAGCTGCGACTTCGCGCCCACGGAACAACCGATTCCCGTTCAACGACTCTTCGATTCACCGGGACTCTGACACATCTCTCTGCTCTCTACTCGTCTGGAGGTTATTGTCGGAAACAGGTACCAGGACTCCGAGTGGGGATGTACTTCGGAACATGAACGTAGCTCCCGCTCCGGACTGACGAGGCGGACAACAGAAGTTTCGCAAAGGGTCGAAACTGAAAACGAACTGTCTGACTTCGGCCGTTTAATTTTCGGGAAAGTTCCCCGTCGCATCTCCCTCATTTCCGTTTAGGTTCGACAGCCGCGGTAAATCAAAGGAGATCTCGTTCCTCTGCTTCTCCAGTTCGACTCGTAACGGGAACAACGAACTCCGTGCCCGGATGTTCACGGAGTGAAAATTCGGAGAATTCGGCTCCGGTTGATCTTCTCAGCACGGATTCGGGCAGCCGACCATCTGTTCCCGATTCGTGTGAATCAAGCTGCGCGCGAGATGGAATTGGACTCTCGAGCGATCGACGCGAGGTTCGATTCGCTCCTTCCTCCTCACGGTCGGCTGTAGATGTATTCATCAATCGGTGAATTTAATGACGGGCTGTTCCACTAGATTCAATGGGCTCGTCGAGGAAACGACCGGATACCGTAGCGACGGATTTCTCCTTCGAAAGCGACTTCCGCTTCCTGTAAAGTCTCCAATTGGCCTCGTTCGGTTGCGGATCCAGCCGCCGCAGGTGACCGCGGATTCTGTCGCCCAGAGATTGGAATCGATTCGGAGCCAAACTCGGCTTTTGATCGAACTACATCGCCCGAGCCGTCACAAGTGTCATCGCTATTCTCGCAAGCCTGCGAACATCCTTTCAGGACGGAGTGTCGAACCCTATCGCTCGAATGGACGCGCTCCAGAGGGAATATCGTATCCGGATACGAGAAGATATGAAAGCAACCCGAACCCTCACAGACGCAACACAGTGAGCGGTGGCCGGCCCGACGTAAAGTCTGACTTTCTGGAAATAGCCCCTGCGCCAAGTCTAGAAGAGCTGCGCTCGAAACTTCTGAGAGCGGAAAAAGCTATATAATTCGTCCTTCTCGAAGCGGACGCAACGATGTGCGTCTAGACGGAAGGAACATAACTACAAAATTGACTGCCAATCATGCAATTGCTTGGTTCTTCGAGAAATCAAACAAGTTCGTCGTTTCGATGGGACCGAACGACGAAAGT